GGCTTGGTCTACATCTGGGCTCTCTTTAACTAGGCCATGGAGCTTTTTGGACTGGTCAGAAAACGGATCAGTTTCTGATGGAAGCTGAGACAGATGACCACAAACATACAGCTTGATACATCACACATTGTCTTTAGATCTGGAGATCAGATGTGTGAAACATGTGTCACTGGGCCAAAATGAAGGTGTTGGCTGAAATGGAGTCCCACTGGAGCCTTTGTGGAAATTGTGTGTGTGTGTGTGTGTGTGTGTGTGTGTGTGTGTGTGTGTGTGTGTGTGTGTGTGTGTGTTTTAATAAAATGGAATACTACTCAGCCATAAAGAATGAGAAATTAGAGAAATATAAATGTCTCCAAATTAGACCACACACACACATTTAGCTATAAAGCCAAATGGATGCACATTGAGGCCATACTCAAGTGAAATAAATAGGTCTAAATACCAAATGGTTTCTCTAGTGTGAGAAACTGAAAGTGTCAATAAGGATCAAAAGGTATAATAGATAATGTGAAATAGGAAGAAAAGGTGCAAAGGGGAAGGGGAAGTTGGAGGAGTAGGGAAAGGAAAGAAGGGAATTGAATTAATATGAAAAAATGGAAACAAAATCTTTGTAAATAAATGGAGGGGTTGAAGGGAGGGCAGGGGAATGGGGTTTAAAATAAGAACCAAATACATTATGTAAAGGTACAAATTTCCAATGATGAATGTCATTACATGTATACCTAAAATGTACCAATAAAATTAATAAAAAAACACAACCTACTGGAAGATAAAATAGGAAAAACTCAAAATTGTTGCATAGGCAAGGACTTTCTGAACAGAACTCCAATTGCACAAAAAATAGCAGCAAGGATCAATAAATGTGATTATACAAAATTAAAAAGCCTTTTCTCAGCAAAGGAAACAATTAAATGAAGAGATACCCTAAATAATGGGAAAAATTTTGCCATCTATTCCTCAGACAGAGGACTAATATCTAGAATATATTAAAAACTCAAAAAATTAGCACTCCCCAGCAAGACCTCAACAAAAATTGGGCAAGTGGAATGAATAGACACTTCTCAGAAGAAGAAAGTACAAATGGACAATAAACATATGAAAAATGTTCAACATCTCTGGCTATTAGAGAAATGCAAGCTAAAACAACACTAAGATTGAGCCGGGGGTGGTGGCGCATGCCTGTAATCCCAGCACTTGGGAGGCTGAGGCAGGAGGATCTCTGTGAGTTGGAGATCAGCCTGGACTACATAGTGAGCTCCAGGTCAACTATATAGTGAGACCCTGTCTCAAAAAAGAATAAAAACAAAAACAAAAGCAAAAAACACTAAGATTTCATCTTACATGAAAAAGACATGGCAATCACCAAGAAATCAAATAATAACAAATGCTGGTATGGGTGTGGTGAAAAAGGAACCCTTGTACATTTGCGGGGGGATGTAAACTAGTATAATCTTTATGGAAATCAGTATGGAGATTTCTCAAAAAACTAAAAATAGAAATTTCATTTGACCCATTTAAATAATTCAAAGTTCAAGTAAGAGCAAATAAAAGATTGATGAAAGGAATCCAGAGGTAGATTTTTTTTTTTTTTTTTTTTTTTTGTAAATGGGAAAGTGTCCAAGAGCCCAAGGGAGAGAAAAAGGGGGAATGGTACCAAACACGCACAGTGAATGTAACCATTATATGTCATACACATGAACAAAAACAATAACAGTAAAGTATGAGTCTAATATATCGCATATTGAAACCGTACTCTAAAGTGAAATAAATAGGACACACATGTGTAAATACCAAGTAGTTTCTCTGATGTGAAAAACTAAAAGTGTAAATGAGGTTCAAATGTTGTAATTGATAATGTGAAATAGGAAGAAAAGGTCTGAAGGAGAAAGGGAAGTGGGAAGGGTATTGGAAAAGAAATAAGAGAAAAGAAAAAATATGAAAAAAGGTAAAAATGGAAACAATATCTTTTTAAATAAGGAAAGGTGAAGGGGGTGAAGGTAGGGCAGAGGAATAAGAAAAAAATAAGAAACAAGACTTGTCCTGTAAAGGTACAAGATCCCAATGATGAATGTTACTGTACTGTATACCTAAAAAGCACCAATATATTTATTTTTTTAAAATGTGGGCCAGGGATTTAGCTCAATAGTTCTGTCGACTGCCTCGCAAGCACAAGATCCGGAGTTTGATCCTCAGTACCAAAAAACAAAAAAGTATCAGTTTATCCAGGTGTGGTGACAAATGCCTGTAATCCTAGCACTTGGGAGGCAGAGGCAAGAGGATTACCACAAGTTCAAGGCTAGTTTAGGCTACATAGTGAGTTCAGGACCAGCCTGAACTACACAGCAAGACCCTGTCTCAAAAAAAAAAAAAAAATTAAAAAAGGATCTGTTTTTGAATTCTCAGATATTCTAACTGTGCAAAAACCTTGCAGAGTATAATCTTCAGGGGAGAGAAGAGTATTTTTCTTCCCAATGAAACTGTGCAGTTTGTTATTTCTTAGCTATGCAGTACTTAGAATATCATTTTGCAAAGCTGTAAACCAACCTCTACTATGTTTTTTAATATTTAGACATTGCTGAGAAGAGGAAAAGCAAAAAGAGGAGATTGCTTATAGATCCAATCAAAGAGATAAGTAGCAAAATTATGCATAAACAGCTGACTTCCTTTTCGGACACACTCATGGTTTTGGAACTTGCACCTCCTACCCAAAGATTAATGATGTGGAAGAAGAGGGGAGGAGTGGATACACTTCTGTCAACTGCTGCCCAGGATTTGATTCATAGTGAACTGAAAGTGGTAATAGTTTCTTTCCTTTTACTTGAGTGCAATGTTTGTTTATAAATAAAACCATATTTACATGCATATATGCAACATAATTTGAATTTGTGAAAAATAACTATAAATTAATGTGTTGGATATGTCTGTATGAATTATAGTTTTCACTTTCTAGTATATATGCTTGTGATTTTATTGAATTGGTACAAAAATGAGAACTAAAAATACATGTTTTCACAGTTGTTTGCAAAATGCTTTCTGTCCTCTGGCTTTAAACTTGGAAGAAAATTGATACAGAAGAAGTCAGTAAAGGAAGAACTGGGTAAACAAAACATAGTAGGTGAGCCTTCCCAATTCTGTTGATGTTAAAAATGAATGTTGAGCGGGGCATGGTGGTGCATGCCTGTAATCCCAGTACTCGGGAGGCTGAGGCAGGAGGACCCCTGTGAGTTTGAGACCAGCCTGGGCTACATAGTGAGTTCCAGGTCAGTCTCAACTACATAGTAAGACCCTGTCTCAAAAAAACAAAAAAACAAACAAACAAACAAACAAAAAAATAATTTTGAAAAGGTGCAAAGGGGAAGGGGAAGAGGAAGTGGGAGGGGTAGAGGAAAGGAAAGATGGGAATGGAATTAATATGAGAAAAGAAAAAATGGAAACAAAGTCTTTGTAGATAGGGAGGCATGGAGGGATTGAAGGGAGGGCAGGAGAATGGGGGAAAAAATAAGAACCAAGGTGGATTATGTAAAGGTGCAAATTTCCAATGATGAAAGTCAATACATTGTATACCTGAAATGTACCAATAAAATTAATTAATTAAAAAATCACAACCATATAGTATAAGTTTTTTTAAAAAAGGAATGTCATGAAAACAAAAGTTTCATTTTACATTTCAGAGTGAAAATGGGATGCAATTCCCTATTTTCAAGTATAAATACTATCTAGAAGTTTGAATTTAAAATAATTACTTCAGCCGGGTGTAGTGGTGCACGCCTGTAATCCCAGCACTTGGGAGGCTGAGGCAAGAGGATCACTGTGAGTTCGAGACCAGCCTGGGCTACATAGTGAGTTCCAGGTCAGTCTCGACTACATAGTGAGACCCCGTCGCAAAAAAAACAAAACTAAATAAAAAAAATTACTTCGGTATTTATTCTTTTACTTATCAGATTTATTTTTGTCTGAAAGACTTCGTTACAGAGATGAAACTGTATATACTATGTAGACCATTTTTTTCTTTCTTTCTCACTTTCCCTATTCCCAAAGTCAGAACATACAAACCATTAGAAAATCTTTATATCTAGCAGGATAATATTTCACTTTAAAACAATTAACATGAAAAATCATGTAGGAATAATGATACCATTAACCCGAGTAGAGTAAATACTCCATAGAGTATTTACAATTGATTATTTTTGTGACAATTATGAAGTGGTAATGAAACCAACTTATGTGGTGAATGAGCCTCCACTTCCCAATCACCCTTCCTGAAGGCATTAAAGTCCACTGAATAATATACTCTAATGGACTTGAGATCTCCATGTTGTCTTGTGCATGAATGCGTGACAGTGAGTGTGGAGTCAATGTATAAATATGTGGCTTTGGCAATGGATGGGGAGTGCAGGTCTTAGAGACAGATGAGTGGAAAGAGAAGATTAATATGTGAGAATTAGGGGAGCCCTAAGAAAGTTTGTATACCCTTTGTTTAATTCTTGGATTCCAAGTTGTCCATCTGATGTTTGCTTCTATAACAACCATATCCCAATTCATATTTGAAAGATATCTTAATGAGATATTCTTTATTTCCTTGATAATTCAGAAATCTCCAGGATGGAAGAGCCAAATTCCCAGCAAGACTTAAGTCACCTCCAGATTTGGGAAGATGAATTTAAGAGTAGCTCTAATGAGGATATCAATAAAAATAGTAACTCTGAGGTAAGTTAACTAGAGAGAACCATAAGAATAATTTTTCTGACACAGCTTTAGTGAAAGAATGTTGGGACTCTGATTTATTTTCTCACTTTTATAAATCATATTTCTTCTATCACTCTATATTTTTAGTAAGCAATACTACATGGTAAAACATAGTTTTTATTTGTGAGACAATATTCTGTAGAAGTTTAGGATAATGAATCACAAGATAAGATAGTTTCACACTGAGATAGTATTTTTTCACAATCTTTTTTTTTTTTGGTACCAGGGATTGAACTTGGGTCCTTGTGCTTGCAAGAAGGCAGGCGACAGAACCACTGAGCTAAATCTCTGGCCCCTTTTCACAATCTTTTAAATGAATCATTGTCTGACCTTGAATCTGGCTCCATCCTGAGATCCTCATGTTCATTATGTCGTGGAATGTATCCAGAGTCTAACCAATAAGCCTGTTTTTTTCTCATCATAACTTCACCCTTCTTGCCACTAATGTGTTTTAAGTTGTCAATTCCCTTGACCTTGAATCTGAAAGGTGAATGATCCTTGACCAAAGAAAATTTTAAACTTTTTATTTGAAGATATAATCTTCATTTGAAAAACAGCTATTTAAAAAAAAAGTTACAATGTGCTTTAAAATATTTTCTCAGTTGTCACTTTATCGCTTGTACAAATGTAAATATTATCATACTAGATAAAAATAAACCAGCGCTTTTCTGGTCTGTTTCATCATCATTGCATTTTGATGTCCCCTTAAGCTACAGTGAAACTGAATGCCCTTGAAAGAAAAGACAGTTCCACAGTGCATTAAAATAGAATATATTTTTCTAAATATTTGATAATACACTGGATATCATATGCTGGGTTGCCAAGACTGTATTCCTCACTTGGGCTCAGGTGTTTATTAGAATGTACCTACTGAAAATTATGATTAGACAGGCTTGTTTAGATTATGATGTTTGGAAGAAAAATATAAGCATATTTATTATAGACATGGTAACAAAATAATTTCCCCATGTGCTTGAAATGGAAAGAAGGGAAGATTGATATACCTGTTCTTTTGAACCTTTACTCTTTTTACCCTGTACTATGTTTTAACCTTCTATTCCATTCTTACTTTGCTTCCAAAATTGTGAAGAAATGTGAAATATAGTTGATGTACGGAAGCCTGGTCAGTTTGAAGAGACAGGAAAATATTGATACTGAGTTATCATTTTCAAATCTTCATAATACAGAATTTTTACATGTAACTATATAATTGAGAATATCTATAATGTAGGCTATTCATAAAAAGTAAAAGAAAAACATGATAAACCTCCATGAATATGCGTAATAAGGAATAAAATACAATTCTTTATATTGACTAAAATCTTTTTCCTCTGCCATCTGGTACTGTCCTGAGGGAGCTAAGACTGGATGAAGTGCTTCAAAGGAAAATGATCCCAGAAGTACAGCAATACTTTTGTTATGAGGTGTACTATGGAGGAGAAAATAGGAAGGAAAAAGATGGGAAAGGTGTACAGGTTCTTTATTTGTAGGAGGCAAATAGAAGAAAGGAATATTTAAGTTAGGAGCTACCTATCTGGGATATTTTAGAAATAATATTTTGAGACTGTGGTAAAGTATGTTAGTAGGAACTCTTAACCAAGATCAGGGATGGCAACTGGGGAATGAAGCTTGGCGATAGTCTGAAGACGAAAAGGGGCCAACAGCTTTTATAGCAGTGAAAAGAGGCAGAGGTGATGGGAAATGGAGAATTTCTGTCTTTCTCTTTTTCCTTCTTCCTTTATGTCTTTGCTCCCCTTTCAGAGGACACAGTTTTTCCTTCCCTGTTGTCAGTGATAGCTCCAGCAGTGGTGTCTGGATTCCTGTCATAGCCCTAGGTAGGGATATTAATACCCCTTCCCTTAATATCACTCCTCTACCTGCTTATTGCCAGTCTTTTTCCTCCACCATCTGGTACTGGCCTGAGGGAGCTAGGACTAGATAAAATGCTTCAAAGCAGACTTTTGTCATGAAGTCTGCAGTGAAGGAGGAAATAGGAAGGAAAAGATGGAAAGCAAGAAGGGAAAGGTGTACAAGTTCTTTATTTGTATGGTGGCATATGGAAGAAAGAAATGTTTGACTTAGGAACTACCTGCCTGGGATATTTTAGAAATAATACTTTGAGGATGTAGTAATAAATTAGTTTGAGAAATGTACATTCATTCATATTATTAAAGCAGTTAATGAATTTAGATTGTTCTTGAAATAGCCACTAGCAGAATTACCTATCTTTGCCTAATTTTTTAGCAGGATAGTATTGAAATGATTCCTTAAACTGCTGAGCAATCATCTATAAACAATGCTTTCTTGGCCCAAGAATATTGTCCAGTTGAATTGGTAAATGTGTGCACTTTGGGGGATATTTTTTAAAAATATTCCTAATATTGAATATTTTATTTATCTAAAATTTATTTTTAGTGATGTCGTTAATTTCTAAAGTTATAATATAAATTTGTAATCTCATAGAGATGTTTGGGAATACTTTGATAAAGCATACAGAACTTTACTTTTCCTTTTGTCTTTATTTTGAAACTTCAAATAATTTTTAAAGAATGTGTATAACTTCTATGCTTATCAACAATAGTGATAGGTTTTTAAATGTTGAGAATCCCTGTTTTAAATTTTTTAAAGCTTATAAAATATCTCGAGAGCCAGGCACGGTGGCACATGCCTATAATCTCAGCACTCTGGAGGACCCCTGTGAGTTTGAGGCCAGCGTGGGCTCCATAGTGAGTTCAGGGTTAGCCTGGACTACATAGTAAGACCCTGTCTCAAAAAAAAAATCTTTAGGAAAACCATGCTTATGAGGGGTATAGCATAGGCAGTGATGGTAAACCTTTTAGAGCTTTCATGGCATGCATGCCATAGGTTTGCCACCATTGGCCTAGGGCATTTGAAATTTTACTTACGAAATAGCGTGGGCATTTTTTTCTAGAAATGAGAAAAATAAAATGATCTGCGTAAAGGGCCACATATTGATAGCAAAGCCAAAAGTAAATTTTTACTCACCTGACTTTCTGTGTGTTTATTTTTCTGTTCTTTGTCATAGAGTACTGAAGGTATGTTTAAGATTGTAAGGAATTTTAGCAAAAGTTTTAAAATAAATAATATCAAGATACCTCTTAATATCTGATATTAGTTTTTAAGTGTTATCTTTTTAATTAATTATAAGACAATTAGATTATTTTTCTCATACATGGACTACAGACTGAATTTTTTGGATATCTAAGAATAAGTAACCTGAACTTTTTACCTGAAGCATCCATGTGGCTGAGACATGAGTTGATTCATTTTTGCCAATCTGCTTTCATAGACACAGATTGTTTTCACATATGATCCAGCAAACCATGACATAGCACGAGTTCAGCTGTTTAAATAATCTTCTGGTCTTTCCACACAATGGCTTCAGTTGTAGGTTGTCCAGGTCGATCAAATGGCCAGGCATCAGCAAAACACACAGACTATTCTGGGCTTTTTTCTGGTTAGTTGTCCATTATAAGTGAAGCTACAGTTTCTTGAATCTTTAACAGATTTTTACTTTTCAGAAGTAGCATTTGTGTACTTAACAATAAAATAAATATGAGCGAGTACATGAATTAATTTACCCACGGACAGATCAGAGAGAATGAGCATACAATGTAGCTGGATACATCTTGGGAGACTCTTCAGGAAAAAAGTGACCATATTTTCAAATCACTCTCATTGGGATGTAAGAAAGGACATAGCACAGGCAGGACCATGCTATGTAGCCAGTCCAGGAAGCAGGTACAGCTTGTGGGAATGGGGACTGAGAGATCAAGACAGAGAGTCCCTTTAGCCTCATATGTTTTAAAATATGAGGCAGAATATTTTAGAATTTCCCCAAATCATCTTAATCATCTTTATGAAATCAAAACTACTTTGAGGAAGTGTCTGGGCTCCAGAGCTGTGGATAAGGCTAGACAAACAGGGGACATGTGATAAGGGTGACACAGGTGGTGCTGTTGGTGAGAGCTACTAGGCAATAATGGTAAGTAGGTCAGCTCTGTGCAACTTCCCTCCCCCAGCCCTCTGTAGGCTGCTCTTCTATCAGATCCATCACCTTTCCTATGCCCAGGTTCTGTTCTCAGCTCACGAAGTGTTAGTTGGTAGGGACTACAGTGAGTTCTTATAAAGATATTTCAACTTTATAATTCTAAATATTAAGATACAGTGGTTAACTTTCTAAGACTGAAAAGAATGACTCTGTTTTGCTAACATGACAGGCAGTGGATTAACCTTTTCTGCACAAGGCACTTTCAAAATGTGAGAGGTTTCTAACCCAACTGTTACAAATTACTAAACACCAGTTTTTAAAGCTTCTGTATAACCATATATAGTTCAGATAACTTCACAAGACAGTTTTTTTCTGTAGCTTTATATTTATGGTAGCTGCATTCAGATTGACCAGAAAAAGAATGGATCTAGCTGAAAGTGCTTGTCTTTGCTAAGTTTACTTTTCACAGTATCTAAGGACATAGTGCATTACCCGTAAGACTTCAGAATCTTACTTTGGATCTCATTATTAGAAGACAGCATGGGGAGTATAACAGTAGTCCTGCACAGCTGATGTATATTTGTGTTAGTCTTACTCTCCCTATATCAGACTATAAGATCTTTGTTTGGTAGAACTCAGTGTTGTGGTTGTATTTCTTGTAGTAGCTAACACTATGCCTGACATGTAGTTAGCATTCAGTAAAATGTGTTTAAATGAAATATTTTATTCATCAATCATTTAATAGGAGTCATTGGAGAATGAACAAAACAGTGAAGCTGAGAGATGGAGTCAAAGATTTTTTCAGACGTTAAATAGTTTACGGGTAAGATGTTAGCGTTTGTCAATTCTATTTTTGTTTTAAAAAGAAATAAAATATTGATTTCAAGCATATACATATTTATGAAAACAAAAAAATATTTTATCATTTTGTTGTGGTCAAATTCTGCTAGCATAAGTTAATTTTGAGTAGTATACCTTGGGTTAAATACAGAAGTTTTGGTCCCTGCATAATTCTAATTTACTCCTAACCCATATAAATGTTGCCAAACATCTGCTCTGTGTCCTTCTCTTGTTTTTAGCAATATAACAACTAAATCTAAATACAAAATTAAGTTTATAACAGTTTATAAGTGATAAATCAGGTAATTTGCACATTTAATTTGTATCTTTATCAAGATAAGAGATATGTATAAGTTCAATAGTACTGTGTTAGAAGGCTGAAAAGGAATGACAGAAGTCGCTCATTCTATCCTTCTTATGCCTAAGTCCTGCTCATTGGAAGCAAATATATTAAGCTGTTTCTTTTAGTATTTACATCCATGTGTCTAACTGATATATTTCACTTCAGCTTTAGACTTCTTTTTTTACTGGTTCTGGGGATTGAACTCAGGACCTTGCACTTGCCAGGCAGGCACAGCACCACTGAGCTACATCCCCAGCTTCTACTTTAGCTTTAAGTTTTATCTGTTGACTTTTTTGACAGAAAATGAAAATTTAGTTATGCTCCTCATTACAATCCACTTTTAGCATAGTATTCAGTGTTTACAATGTTTTAAAATTTGTGGTGTAGGTTTATTTGTGACAGAAAAACAAAATATATTTGGCTTAATAAAGAAGTTTATTTTTCTTTCAGGTAAAAATCTAATCTAGTATGCAGCCATGCTAACAAAGTTTTCAGGGGCCACTTTCCCTTTTTCTTTCTTTCCCTATTTTCAGTATCCAAAGTGTCTAACTATACAGTAGGTCTATATTACAATCAGCAACAAAGCTTTCTTTAAGAGTATAGCTCAGAAATTTTATATGAAACTTTTTACATTAACCAGAACTTACCTTGCATTGCCACCTCTATCTGGGAAATTGGAGTTCTCATTTAGTAACCTCAAGTCCAGCTAATAATTCTACTGCTATGGAAGAAGAGAATGGACATTAAGATACAACTAAACTTACCACTACAAAGATTATGTAGAAACCATAGAATTGCATTTCTTATAAACTTTATGGAATTTTTTGTTGATGATGATGATGTTTGATTTAATCATTACCTCATTTCTTCCATTTATTGATTGTCTCTGTATACCCATCCTTAATTATTTTCCAAACTTTTTCATAATATAATAAATCCCTTTTAGCCTATATATCTAATATATCAATTGATTCATCAGTTTCATTTTTTTTTCTTTGAAGATAATCCTCTTGGAACTAATCATCCTCTTATTCTAATTGAAACTAGTACCAGGCATGGTGGCTCACACCTGTAATCCCAGCACTCGGGAGGCTAAGGCAGGAGGATCGCTGGGAGTTCGAGACCAGCCTGGGCTACATAGTGAGTTCCAGGTCAGTCTCAACTACATAGTGAGACCCTGTCACAAAAAACCAAAAAAAAGAGAACTAATTGAAACTAGTTGCTCTTTAGGTAGGCTCTACAGCATCTATCTTGGGATATTCCTTTATCATAAGCACGAAAATGTCTCTATTCCCTCTTAGTTCTGTTACTTAGCGTTTTGATTTTCTTTTATCTTAAGTTAACATTGTCTCATAATTTCCTGAGACAAATAGTATGTAGGAGACAGAAACCTTGCAAACAAATCTGAAATTTTCTTTATTTTACCTTGAACATTATTAGCAGTCTCCGAACATAAGTTAAAAATAATTTATTTCCAATATCAAAAGCTTTGGAGGCCGGGGATTTAGCTCAGGGGTTTCACTGCCTGCCTTGCAAGCACAAGGACCCAAGTTCAATCTCCAGTACCACCAAAAAAAAAAGAAAAAAGAAAAAAAGCTTTGTAACATTTTAAGGATTCTTATATTATTGAAAGGTCAGGTTCTTTCTTGGTTCATGAGCCTTTATAAGTAATCTTTTTTTTCTCTCTGAAAGTTTTTGGATTCTTTTATTTATGTCTAGTGCTCTGAAATTTCATGATGATCTGCTTTTTAAAACATTTTCTGTGCTCAGCATGTAGTTTGATTTTGTAATGAGTTAATCCTTGGCTTCTAAAATTTATTTTATTTTTTTATTTTATTTATTTTATTTTTTATTTTTTTGCTGTACTCTTGGTTTATCTCCTCTCTTCTTGAAGAGTGTATAGGTCAAATAATGAATCTCTTGAATTGTTTCTTCCATTTAAAAAATATTCTTTATTTTCCATATTAATTTCCTTTGTTTTTGTATTTTTTCTTTCACTAGAAGATGCTTTCAATTTTGCATTTCAGGCTTTACAAAATTTTTATTTTTGCTTTCACCATTTTGTTTTTCAGGAGTTGTTTTTTGTGTGCTTGTCTTTTAGTTACTAGTATTCTTTTGTGTCATAAAAGCCTAATCCTTTAAAAATAATTATTTATTTAATTTAAAAATCTTTGCCAGGCATGGTGGCACATGCCTGTAATCCCAGCACTCAGAAGGCTGAGAGGCAGGAGGATCGCTGTGAGTTTGAGACCAGCCTAGGCTACATAGTGAGTTAAAGGAACAGTCTCAACTATGTAGTAAGACCCTGTCTCAAAAAACAAAAAAACAAATATATATATATATATATATATTTAAAAACTAAAATCTGAACCTTTAAAATAAATAAAATAAAACCCCAACAAGTGTCCTTGTATCCTTTGATAGTCCCTTGCACTGTCCTTCCTACTGTTCTCCTTTATCCCCAAGCAAACACTTACCTGCTTTCTTTCACTGTCATCCATGTCACTTTTCACAGATGCAGTGAAAAACTTCTCTTAACTTTAGAAGTTACAGTTTTCTGCTGAGTTATTTTAGTGATTCTCTTGAATGTATTCTTTTTATTCTATAGTGTTAGAGATTTAAATGTCTGGCATATCTTTGGTTATCTGCTTTTATTTAAGACTGAAACACCAAAAAACTGATTCTGGAAGTTATATGGCCACGAGCAAGGGTTATACATAGTTTTGTGATCTTAATAGTGAGTTAACTACAGGATACCCTTTCCCCAGATTCATCTAAAGACTTTTTTTCCTTTTGAGTGGTCAGTTTTCTCAGATAATTTTTTCAGCTACTACCTAGGAGATATATGCATAATATATCAGAAGTCAGGGAAGCGTTAATTGTCTCATTGTGCAGGTATGGAATGTCACTTAATCTCATAGGTTGTGGCATGACATTTTTTCCTTCCCCATCTACAGTGCCAGTGTCCCAGTGGTTGGTGTCTCCAGAAAAACACATGCTTGCCTGCTGCTGCTCTGTGGAGTGGTCTCTCATTCTTAGAGGTTGTGAAGATGACAAAAGGCCTAACATCCCCTGCATATCAAGAAATTCTGTTTTCAGTCTCATCTGTAGCTTATGTCTCTAACTCCTGAGTTTTTTCAACTTTCTGTACCTCAAGTTGGCTTGATTTTTGCTGGTTTTCCCCTCTGTTGATATTTAGATTTCAGCTTTCTCTCTCTTCTAAGTCAGTTATGCCTTCCATTTTCTTAATCTCTTTTATTTGCCATTTTTTATTCCTTTACTCTCATTTTTCTAAAGGGCTTCTGAAGGAAACACCAATAAGCACATACGTTCATCTTGCTTATTTTCCTCTCAAGATTTTTCAAGAGAACTCTTAAAATTGAAAAAGTTGTTCCCACTCTCTCCTGGGGGTGGGGGAGATATCAAATCCATATATTGTTGCACAAAGAAAGGAATAAATGAAAGCTAAGCATACAATCTCTGAAAGGCTGTTGACTGTGGGCCACAACTTTGATTAAAATAAACCACAATAAAATATTCACTGTAATGTTATAGTCTGGCAAAAACTTATATGATATTCCTAAAAGTGCTTAACAACTATTGAAGGAGTATGATATTCATGGGAATATTGGCCAGTATTCACTATAATATTTCTAACTAAAAATTAAAACGTCTGTTGGAAGCTGATTCCAAGGGTTAGTCCTTATGAAAGCAGTTATTTTCACCCATAATTACTTTATTGTACCTTATTTCTAGTAGGTATACATGTGCCCTAAGGTGCCCTATGATGATCTTTAATCTGTATAGAGAAACTGGGAGATGTTTAGTTATATTCCCCTGCCACTGAAACTTACAAATATACTTATCCATTTACCACTAACATTATTTATAGTCATCCTAGTACTTTTAAGAAGCCTGATAAACTAACCACTTGCATTATATTTGAAGCCTTCCAAAGTCCTATAGAATTTTTCCACCTACTAATTGCACTTTTCATAGAACAAATTTATTTTGAAGTCAATTTTTAAAGACCTAAGATTTATGTAACACATTATGAATTTGTATAACATTTTAGGGTTCTTTTTCATGCATTTATTTTTCAGTGCTCCCAACTTGTGTTTGTGACCTATGGTGGTTTTATTAGAGTTTTCTGTATTTCTCCATTGAAAGATAACGTAATCATTTATGAAAAAGCTCAATATTTTGTTGTTCATAATGCACCCATAACCTGGTTTATTTCTAATGATTTTTGTTTCCTTTGTTTCCTTTCCTTTCCCTCTTTCTAACTATTTTCTCAGGAATCTAACAAGATGGGAATGCAGTCCTTTAGTCTGAAGAAACTTTGCAGAAACAGTGATCGAATACAAGCTGCTGCCAAATTTTATAGCTTTCTTATCCTAAAAAAACATCAGGTTATTGAGCTGAGTCAGAGTGCTCCCTATGCAGACATTATAGCTACAGTAGGACCAATGTTCCATAAAATGTGAAGGAAATACGGAACATGAAGGTTTGCCACCACAGGCATTTCTGTAGAGAATGTTCAGTTTAATGCAGAAGCCTCCTGAGAACATCTGAAGGTCTGATCTGTTTCAGAGATAGGCTAACCCTTTCCTTCTCTAAGTTCAGAATAATCATTGGCAGATTTGGAAACCTATCTGCTTACAGAAATATTAATTATAGCTAGGTAATTTTTTAAACAGCTGATTTCAATGTATAGCATTATAATTTCCTGGTTTGTGGCATTTAGGGTGCATTTAGGATATATTTTTGAAAACATATGACTTCAAGAGACATTTAAGGTTTTTTTTTAAAGGCTGTTTTTTACATGGGATTGTTTATTGAAATTTTATGGGGTTAATGAATATATGCTTATTTCTTGGCAGGCAATAATTTATTTGACTCTAATGTATGTCATCTTTGATATCACTTAGTGTGATGGTTTTTCCTCTAATATCTTAATTGAAGAATTATAAAATTCATCTTTGTTTTAAATCACCTGCCTGTCTTTTAGCCTATTTATAGGTTATTTAACTTTTTAATTTACTATTTAATGATTATTATAATCAATACAAATACCTCAACAAAACTAAATGTAATCCTTACATTTAAAAAATTAGTAGACACTTGTGCAACATGTTTCTGCAGCTATAACTTGAGTAAAAAAAATTGCTGAAACCGGTGTTCTTGTATAGTACTTAATGAGCATTTCTGACAAAACCATTGTTATTTTTCCTTACTTGAAATTTAAATTAGATTTTCCCAGAGTGAAAGCTGTGGTATATAGTTCTTCACTCAAAGGAGTTCTGTGAACTCCTTTGTACACTATAAAATGAAGCCTATATTACTCTTTCAGACATTGTACTTGTAATTATGTTACACATAACTAAATTCTAAATAGCTTCTATGAGTACATTAAGACATAAATATCAAAATTGCTTTTTAAATTTTATTTTTATTTTTAATTAAAAAATTTTTTTGAGACAGGGTGTCACTATGTAGTTGAGACTGACCTGGAACTCACTATGCAGCCCAGGTTGGTCTCAAACTCACAGCGATCCTCCTGCCTCAGCCTCCCAAGTGCTGGGATTACAGGCGTGTGCCACCACACCCAGCTCAAATTTTATTTTTAAATTAGCATGCAGACAAAATGACTTCTTACTTTGGGTGCACGGTTCTACAAATTTTAACATATAGTTTTCTGGAACTATCACCACAAAAACTCTGTGTGTTACCCATTTGTAGTTATACCTTTCTCCCATGCTGATCTCTGGCAGCCACTCTTACTCTTCATGACTATATATTTTGTCTCATTGATAATGTCATATAAATGGAATTATAGAGCATGTAACTTTTTGAGACTGGTTTCTTTCACTCAGTGTAACATTTTTAATATTCTCCCAAGTGATTGGATAGTTTGTTCCTTTTATTGCTGATTAGTACTCGGTTATGGGATATACCAGTTTAATTTATGCATTTGTCCACTGAAAGACAATTAGAATATTTTCAGTTTTGTCAATTATAAATACAGCCGCATATGTTTGTGTACAATTTTTGTGTGAATACAAGTTTTTATTCCCCTAGGATTGCTGGGTCATATGTTTGTTTAACTTTGTAGTAAATTATCAAATTATTTTCAAGACTGCATATATTTTGCATTCTCACTAGTAATGTTTGTGTTTCACTTGTTATATTGATATAATTGTAGATCTGTGTGCAATTATAAGAAATAATAGAGACAGACAGACCAGTTTCTCCCAGTGGTAACATTTTGCCTAACTTTATTATAATATCACAGCCAAGAAATTGGCATTGATACTACCTACCCACCTTATTCAGATTTGAACAGTTTTTTTATTTGTTCATTTGTGTTTTTTTGCTACCAGGGATTGAACTCAGGCTTTTGTGCTTGCAAGACAGGCAGCAGAACCACGGAGCCAAATTCCCAGCCCGGAATAGTTTTTTTTTTTCGGGGGGGGTACCAGGGATTGAACTCAGGTCCTTGGGCTTGAAAGGCAGGCCACTGAACCGCTGAGCTAAATCCCCAGCCCCTTGGTACAGTTTCATATGCATTCATTTGTGTGTATGCGTATTCAGTTCTGTGAAATATTGGTTATATGTAACTTTGTGTGACCACCACCACTGTAGAGAAGCAGAACAGCTCCATCACAAAAATCATTTGTGTTACTTTTTGTGAGCCAGAGCTACCTTCCTCCTTTTTCTCTCCTCCCTAGCCCCTGGCAGCCATTAAGCTGTTCTCTATTTCTACAATTTTGTCGCTGATATAATTAGCTTTTGTGGGTTAACTTTATATCCTGTGACTTTTCTAAACTCACATATTAGTTTTATGTGGCTTTATTGGTTTGTTTTTGTAGATTTCTTGGTATTTTTTACATAATCGTGTTGTCTACATGGAAGAACAATTTTATTTCTTTCTTTGCAATCTGTGTGACTTTTATTTCCTTTTCTTACCTTGTAACACTTGCTTGACCCCTTAATATTTTGTTGAACAAAAGTGTTGAGACTAAATATCACTGCATTTTCCCAATTTTAGAAGGGAAGTATTTACTCTTTCATCACTATTTATGATGTGAAACTGTATTTGGATTATTGTTTGTTTGGACTATGGGGTGTGATTTGGGAGAGGTAATTTTGTCAGTTTGGGAACTGTATTAGTCCACTTTCTATTGCTATAACAAAATATCTGATATCAGGTACTTACAAAGAAAAGAGGATTACTTAACTCACAATTTTGGAGGGTAAAAGTCCAAGGTCAGATGGCTTTATCTGTTCAGCCTCTGGAGAGGGCTTCATTGGCTGAATCAAAACATGGCAGCTGGCATATTCAAGAAAGATCACATAGTAATCAGGACGCTAAAGAGACTTAATGCTAGATGCTTACTCTTTTTATGACAACTTGTTCTTACAGGAATTAACTGGATCTGTGCTCCTCAGTAACCTAAAGCACCTTCTATTAAGTTATCACATTTTAAAAGTTCCATCACCTTAACTCTGCCACATTAAGGAGCAACCTTCCAGCACATGAACCTTTGGGAGACATCCAAACCATAGATAACATTCCCTTCTAGTCCCAGTCTCCTGAACATGTTTATCATGAATGAATGCTGAATTTTGCCAGATGCTTTTTCAGCATCAAGTTTATCACAAGATCTTTCTTCTTGAGACTATTAATATAGTGTAATTCACTGATGTTTTAAAAATTTTTAGTAGTTTTGTATTTCTAGGTTAATATTCAAATTTTTAATATTTAATTTTCTAGGTCTATATTCAAATTTATGTCCAAATAGTATTCCATTGTACATCTGTACCACATTTTTTTATCCATTCATCAGTTGATGGATGACATGTGAGTTGTTTCTGCTTTTTTGACTAGTATGAATAATACTGCTATTAACATTAGGGCATAAATTTTCATGTATACTTATTTTCATTTTTCTTGGGTATATGCCTAGAAATAGAAATGCTACGCCACATGATAAACTGAAATTTAAATTTTTGGGGGAACTACAAGTTGTTTTCCAAAAGACTGTACAATTTTACATTTCCATCAGCAATGTAACAGGGTTCCAGTTTCTCTATCTCCTTGTTACCATTTCTCACTATCCTTTTTTATTATTATCATCACCAGCCTAGTGAGTGTGAAGTGATAGCTCATAGTTCTAATTTGCATTTTCTTAAGGATAATGATGTAGAGTGTTTTTTCATGTGGATTTGATATTTTGATATCCATAAAGTTACTGGTCTTTCTTTACTTATTTTTCAGTTTTGGTATTAAAGCTATAGTAGCTTCATAAGATAACTTAAAAAGTATGACCTCCTATTCTACTCCTCTGGAAAAATCTGTGTAGCCCTGTATTATTTGTTCATTAGAATTTTGGTAGAATTTACACCATAAAACCCTCTGGATGTGGAGATTCACATTTTGGAAAGTTTTCAGCTATGAAGCCAATGTTTAAGATAGTTATAAGAACATCAGTTATCTATTTTATTTTGGGTGAGTTAGTAGTTTGTGCTTTCAAGAAATAAGTCCATTGCATCTACGTTGTTGAGTTTAGAACTGATGGATATAGAATCATTTCAAGTATTGCCTTATTATCCTTTCATGCCTGGGATGTCTAAAGTGATAAACCTGCTTTCATTTCAGACATTGTCAATTTATGTCTTCTCTCTTTTTGTTCTTTAGTTTCCTTAGAGGCTTGTAATTTTGTTGGTCTTTGCAAAAAAAACCCCATATTTTGATTTTACTGATATTTTTCTTTTGTTTTTGTTTACAATTTCATTTATCTGTACTTCTGTGTTTATTGTTTCTTTTATTCAGCTTGCTTTGGGATTCTTTTGTGCTTATCTTTCACATTTTATAAGTAATATAGATAACAGACTTGTGATCTTCCTTTATTAATATGAACACACATATTTCCCTCCCAGCACTGTTTTAACTGTATCACTCAATTTGATATGCTATATTTCCACTTTTTTTGGCAAAAAAAATTCTAATTGCCTTTGCAACTTTCTCTCTGATCTGTAAATTATTTATAACTGTTTTTTTAACTTCTAAGAGCAACTTTCCTCGTATTTTTCAGTAATAAATTTCCTGCCTCACTTCTTTTTGTTTGGAGAACATACTTTAAGTGATTTTGATTTTTTAATTTATTAAAGCTTATTTTTTATTTAGTATGGAGTCTGTCTTGCTGAATGTTCCATGGGCCCATAAAAAGAATATATTCTTGTTAGGTGAATGTCAGTACAAGTCAGATCTAGCTCATTGATAGTGTTCAATTCACATCTTTGCTTAATTTTGGTTTATAGTTGTACTGATTACTGAGAAAGGAGTGTTTGTGTCTTCAGCTGTAATTATGGATCGGTTTATTTATTTCAGTTTTTGCTTCATATATTTTGAAGCTCTTTCATTTAGTATAGACATATTTAAACATGTCTTGTTGGTGCAATGGCTTTTCTATTATTTTTTTAAATTTAATTTATTGGTACATTCTAGGTAGACAGTACAGTTACATTCATTACTGGGATCTTGTACCTTTACATGCCAGGTCTTGGTTCTCATTTTTTCCCCTTGTCCCCACCCTCCTTTCACCCTTGGCTTTTCTATTATTGTAACAAG